TGCAGCGCATTTTTTATTTGGAGATGTAGCTGTTTTATGAGCCTGAATACAGAGGAAATATGCAGCCTCTCCGTGTCTTTTTATATCAGGATCACATGTTGCTTTGGTTAATGGTGTGAAACTTTCTGCTGGAGGTACAGGTTCTCACAATTTACATGACTTGAAGAAGGCTCGTAACCCCATAAAGTGGAAAAGCCAAGAGAGACCACAAACAAGAAAACATAAACAGACGATGGTGTCACGATAGAGTCATTTCTTTTTCCTAGAAAGACTTTAAGTTTTCCTTCATTTTAAAAGAAAACTAATAGCGGGGCGCAGATGGACAAGCGGTTAAGTCGAGGCTCATTTACGGACGCTACAGTCCTCCAAGCAGGCCGCCCGGGTTCAAGTCCCACCTGTGGAAAGCATGCCATTCCCCACTCTCTCCTGATTTCATCCTCTATCCACTGTCCTATCAAATAAAGGCAAAAAATAAAAAATAGAAAGCTAATTGCTGATAATTCACAGATTTTTAAGGCAGATTGGCTTTCCTCTGCCGGCCTGTGGAGGCTGTGGGCCGAGCAAATTACTAAAGACAGAGAGCTCAACATTAAATCAACTAACACATACAAACTCAAGGCTGGATCGAAGTACACTTGGCACACACAAATACCAAAATATAAAGAAATGCTTGTCATATCTGGGGCAGAGAGAAAACTTTGCTCACTTGAGCTGAATCAGAGTGATTAGTTGTGTTTACAGGTCTACCCTGAGTCATTGTGAAGGTTGCTGTGCGTGTTCTAGTTTCGCTGGATTCAGAATTAGGACATTTTTACACACTGAGGTCATTGTGTCTGCTGCTCACGACTTCAAAAAGAGAGTTTACGGTCAAATGTGCTGTCAGAGAGTAAATCAGTTAGATACGGTCGTAATCTGAAACTGTTTGTCTTACTCGGTTAACTTCATTTGTGTTGTTTACTTTTCATCGCTTTGGTATTTCTACAAATCACCTGTCAAACACTTGGAACTCACCATCCTTAGAGCTTTTTCTGGGTGATGTTTGAGTCTCTGTTTCTTCGGTGTACATCTGTTTTATCCAAACAAACTGATGTTTGTGTTGATTGTGTTCATCCAAAAATGCTGTCTTGTTTAGATGAGCTTTCGGGTGCGTCTCACTTTATTGTGGAAAAAAAACTAAATCAGGTCAAAGATAAGTCTATAATTACTTTTCCAATCAGAGTTAATATTCCTCGACTGATTGTGTATCATGCTTCAAAGTAAACAACCAACAGCTTATGTTTATTATTTTAGACTGGTGGCTGATAATAGTTTTAGAGACCATGAACATGTGACCATGCATGATATGGTAGGGAAGGGTATGATATGATACAATGTGATACAGGTACTCTATGACTTCCTGTATTTGACCATCTTCTCTATTCCTGAGTGAGTGTGTGCATGTATTTATGTGTTTAGTATTTGGCTGCCCGTAAGAGAACTTTCCACTCAGGGACAATAAAGGTGATGTTAAAGCCAAGCTGCCATGTGTTTTAAATACAGTGTGCATATATCATTATCATAAATATTTGAATTTCTGCTGATTCATGGCGACTGCTGTGTCGAGTAAACAAAACAATAAAAGAATCCAGTAAAACAGGAGGTGTCAGAAAGCGTATGTCCATGCTTCAAACTTCACACTTCATGGTTAATGACCAGACGTGAAATTGCAGGAAAAAATGGAATTTGCCAAAAAAAAAAACAAAAAAAAAAAAAAACAGCAGAACAAATTGAACAAACACATATTCTATGAGTTATGTGATTGTACATGCTTTTACTCCTGCTCATTGTTACGGTCTGCTTTTCATTTGGGATTTTTATTTTTAGACACACATTGTCTGGGGTGAAAAATGCCTCTTGGCCGAGCATACCTCTGCAGGCAGGAGGCCGCGGAGGCTCGGGGGCGCAGGTGAAGACAATAAATGAGCTGAATGGGATATAGACGGGTCAGAGAGTTAGAATGACACACAGAGAAGGAGATGATGATGCAAAGATTTGACCATTTAAAGTCAAATCCTGGCTGGTGTGATTTTATATTCAGACTTCTGGTGCATATGTTTGTGTTTGCACCTCTCCATGTCAGTTCCGAGGAATTCATATCTACAGTACCCGGTCTCTACTCTATTGTGATTAGAGGTGATTTCTTAGTTTTAAAAAAAGAAGGAAACTGCTGCAAGTCAGCAGACACTATAACTTTTAAAGGTGTCTAAAAATAGCAACTTTTACATTTTATGAATTCTAGATGAGTTTAGTCATGTTGGCCTGACGGGGGCGCTGCAAAATCAATTGAAATTACGGTAATTGACTGCTTTTTACGTTTCAGTTTGACTTAAGATGACAGATTTGTTCATGTGAGGGTTTGCAGGACGTACCTCAGAACAACCGATCTGTACTGTCAAAACTGAACATCGGTCACTCACACACACACACACACACACACACACACACACACACACACACACACACACACACACCGGATGTACATACATGTTGCCCTTTTTGATCGCTTTGTTGCTGATGACTTATGATGGATTCTGATGAATGGTTCTTTTTGTGATTCCTGTATCTATGTTCATTGTTGTTAAGTGTTTTATGTCTGAAACCCTGTGATTGTGCTGCTGCCTGTCTTGGCCAGGGCACTGTTGTAAAAGAAATGTTTAATCTTAATGAGACTTTTTTCTTGGTTAAATAAAGGTCAAATATGAATTAAAAAAACATCCAAAGTTACAGATATTCAATCCCACATTTGTAAACTAGCATATGTAAAGAAACACACACACACATTTTGTTCTGCTCCATGGTGACTATGCAGAGAGTGTTTGGGGGTTGTAAGTCAGTGATTAGAACGATTGTTAAGTGTGTGTGTGTGTGTTTTGTCAGGTGAGCACATATTGAATATTTGAACCATACACACACAGAGAAACACACAACACACAGGGGCCCCGGCAAACACACATTCTTAGTGCTTCAGATCAAAGACAATCACAAAGGATTATTCAGGAGAGAAAATGGTGTCAGATGGGAACAACAGGCGCTCTCTGAATGTTTCATGTGTTCTCTTGGACCGATGCCTTCAGAAACCCAAGTGCAGACAGCTCAGATCACATTGACCCACAGTGGGAAATAAAACTTGATATATGAGCTATATTACCAAACCATGACACTGATATGTACAAAATACCAATTGACGTTTTTCTTTTTTTGAACCCCTCCCCCACACACCAATTATCCAATCACAGCCAAGCAGCCGTCACAAGGCGCAGCAGGTCTGTCCATCTTGAGATCTCTCCACCTGCTGCAGCTGTTGTGTCCATGGAGCAAATAAACAAGAGCTAAAAACACAAGATCGGACTAAACAGTAAGATAATCTGCTTTGATGTAAGCTGATATTGTTGGCCGGTTCAATGAATTTCTCCACTGAGCAGAAGCCACTCCTGGTTGCTGCCAGAGTTTAGGCTAACAATAACGGCTCTGTTCGGTTCCTAATTGGATTTGGAGAAGTTTGCACTACAACAACTCAAGCCAAACTCCTTATCCCGCATGGTGCAACATCCACCTCATTATGTCCTCTTCTTAATTAGCCTTTACAGATGTAAGCTGAAAACGGAAACGTACTTTGGCTTTGTCTGAAATCGAAGGGTTCGGGTTATTGCTGGGAGTTTTACACAAATGAAAACCTCTGGTGTTGAATAAATGAAGCCGATGAACTGCAGTTCCTTGATTGTCCACTGGAGGCTGGCTGCAAAAATCACCCATTAGGTCCCATATTACTGTAATATGCCCATTTTTACAGCATAATTAACATGTTTACAGCCTCTTTTTATTTCATATTTTGGTTTTTATAGCTCATTTCTTTGTTTGTAAAAATGGTATGGAGGTGAATTCTTTCATAGCCTAAACTCCCCCTCTTTGCTTGTTTCTACATTGATCAAAAGTTAGGTTGAGAAAGCATTTTCAATATGGCAACCCCCATTGTTGGGCTTCTTAACGGCTCTTCAGAACCCATGGGTAAAGTCATTGAGGCTACTTCTATGTTGGGTACAGTCCAAGGTTTCTAGGTATTACACTTTGTATTTACAGGACTACAGCCTCCGTACACAGGGCGGATCCTAACCGCTAGGCCATCTGGCGCCCCTCCAGTGAAGTTTTCCGGAAACATTTTGATGTGGTGAATGGGGGGCGGGGGGGGGGGGGGGGGGGGGGGGTTCAGGGAAGACTTACTTACCCACATATCCTGGCGTGCCACAGGCAGTGGACATGACATCACCACTGCCCTCCATCTTGGAAAGACCGAAGTCGCTGATCATTATCTTTGACTCGTCTTGTGGGTTGAAATACAGCAGATTCTCTGGCTGGAGGCCGAAGAAAAAGAAGGAAAGGAAAAAAACTCAGGGTTCATAATTCATCTTTTAAATTTATGGTTGTTTTTGTTCAATCTTTGTGAACATCAGCGTCTTTTAAGAAGAACATTCATAGCTGCTCATATGTCTGCAACTTTGAAAGAACAGATACAACCCTCTCATATTCCTCATTTAACGGCGCGTTAGTTTATGGGTGCAGCTCTGGCCAATCACCTCTCTTCTAACAGCCGGCACACGCCAGGCTGACCCACAATGCACTGCATGTGTGGAGCCACTGCCCTTATTGCTGCAGTAAATCTTTGGCTGTCAAAAGAGAACAATCTCCTCGTGTGGAGTTCAAATGTGTGTGTGTGTGTGTGTGTGTGTGTGTGTGTGTGTGTGTGTGTGTGTGTGTGTGTGTGTGTGTGTGTGTGTGTGTGTGTGTGTGTGTGTGTGTGTGTGTGTTGTGTGTGTGTTTGCAGTACCTTCAGGTCTCTGTGTACAATCCCCATCCTGTGCAGGTAGTTCACAGCGTCCAGGACTTGCCGGATCAGCGTGCTCGCATCCTTCTCTGTGTAGAAACCTTTTTCAACAATTCGGTCAAACAGCTCACCACCGGACACCCTGCACAATGAGAGAGAGAGAGAGAGTGTGTGTTTGTGTTAGTGTGTGTTTGTTAGAAATGTAAGAATGCATGCACACACTCTGTTGTGCACATATAGCAGTAACTGGTAACAGACTGGGGGGGAGGTGGTTGCAGGGTCCAGCTTTAGATGTTTCCAGCCAAGACTGTGTAGAAGCTGTGAGCCATGTGCTAATTCACACACACTCAGAGACCCTGCAGCGTTACCATACCTTTAAACATGCTGACGTAATATCTGAAAAAGGGATCAAATGTGGAAAATCTATTCTCTTCTATTCCTGGAAAGTGTTTCCTCTTTTTTCTCCCTCCGTATTTATCCCCAACTGGATGTTCCGAATGTCCTTATGTTTCCTTGTGTCATATGCAATCAAAGAATATTGTGTGTGTGTGTGTGGGAGGTTTTGTTTCTGTAGTCTCTAAAGATGGCTTTATTTTATACGTTTTAAGTGCATATGTTTAAAATCTCAATATACATCAAATCTTGCGATAAAGCAGCTTTGCCACTTTCATGTTCTCGTCTTCAAACATTTGAAAAATGAATGAAATGTCTTTATCATCTCTGCAGATAACGCTTTAAATCACCTCTCAGGGATGAATTCTGAACCATACTCAGAGATCAACAGCAGAACCAGCCTTAATAAATGTTGATTCAAACCTGTATGCTGAAGGAGTCGGCGCTCCTGCCAAGGTTTTTAAAATATTCAGACATATCTGTAATGCAGCTCTGTGTAAGCAGACGGAATGAAAACCATCAGTCAAAGCTGTATCAAAGCTGTGACTCTTTTGACCCAAGATCAACACATGAAAAAGGTTCATTAGCAGTTTCTCCCCTCGGCAGATTCTTCTAATATTTAGTTTTATGTTTCCTGACTCCAGGCCGCATGAAATGACTTGTTCAGGTAAAGATACAGCCAGCTCATCATCTGCTGTACAGACACAGAGCTCCCCCTGCTGGAGGATATAATCCCCTCACTCCACAAAGACAGCTCATCTAAATGCTTCTGTGTTAATGTGGACTACATGCACAACAAGTTTCAGCAACAAATTCTGACATAATCAAGCAGGTTTCACTAACTATAATACTAACATTATCTTACTAAATATATCCATAAGGGTAGAAAGACTTGGAATAGTTCTCTCTATATTCTAAATGTGTATACTATAGCAATACACACCAGTGGCCACAAATGTGCACATCTAACACCATAAACACAAGTAAGCACAAAGGCAAAAGCCTGCATGCACGCGCGCACACACACACACACACACACACACACACACACACACACACACACACACACACACAGCTGGCCAGCATATTTGTGTGGCGTCGTCACGGCGACGGATCAGATTAGGGGCCGTGGAAGTTAAACTCTAATGAAGTTTCTGGGAAAAAAAAAAGATCCGAATTAATTGCTAATCCTCTCTCTCTTCAAAGAGGGCAGCGACTCGTTCGGTTTCAGAGGCAGTCATGTCTGGGAATGACAAGAAAGGGCTAAACACACACACACACACACACACACACACACACACACACACACACACACACACACACATAGCAAAAGGGAGATCAGCCACCAGGCTTCATGGTTGCGTAAGCGTTTGCGTAAGGAGACCATGGCAATCAGACAGGACCACTCACACAAGAACACATGTACACACACACACACACACACACACACACACACACACACACACACACACACACACACACACACACACACACACACACACACACACACACACACACACACACACACACACACACACACACACACACACACACACGCACGCAAAGACACAGAGATGCAAGGGCAGGACCAGCTACACTAACATTTTAAAAGCAAACACATGCAAACGTACAAATAATGCACGTGCACATTCAAGGTCACACACACTAGAAGACAACACACACAGTACACACACAATGTCACACACATACACACTGCCAGTAAACCGGGCTCAAGGCCAGTGGATATCAGTCCTGTTTTATCACATGATAAAACTATGAAAAAAAACCATCCAATATGTAGGAGGTCGACCGTCAGAGCACCCTGAGAGTGTCCTTCACGTCCCAGTCTGCAAACACTCCCTATGTACTGAAGTGCACGACTTTACTGTGTGCTATTTCATCTGAGTGTATCCTTGGGTAACTTTTATAGTGTTCTCAGAAATGTCACAATTGAACAAGAAGCTCATTGTTTTTATGTGTTGTTTACATAGCAAGTCAAAATCTTTTCTTCACTGAACAGATAGAACTTCAAATCAACTCTACGATCCTCCTGGTTTTCAATTTAGCCTGATATTTGACATTATTGTTATGATTATTATTATCACCACCATGCAAGCCCTCATTAGATGCCAGTGCGGTGGTGAGGAGTTGAAAGGATGCTGAAATAATAAATGGTAATAAAAATATCTATTTTTCACAAGAGGTGGATGGAACAAGATGTAGAAAGTTAATCTGTCAATCAGAATGGAGATTTAGCTGTGTGTTTACTATCCTGTGGTCACTTCTGGTTCCAGAATGAGGGCCCGACCGATATGGAATTTTTGGGGCCGATATTGATGTCAATAGTTAGGAGAGATTTTAGAGAAAAAATCCGATACAGATATGTCTGCTGATATCCTTTTTAGATATAAAGATAGATATTCACATTTATTGTGTTGATCCCTCAAAATTTAAAAAGATATATGATGAAGACAAGATGGTCACTTAACTGGAAGGTAACTCATCTACGTGCATCCCCGCTTGACACTCTGGAGAGTGATAAATGCTTTTTGTAATCCAAAGAACACACTCTGCTTGTTTAATGATACTCAAATGAAATGCTGTTTTACTGGTGAATAAATCTACTTATATCGGCACATCAGAGAGAAAATTAGCCGATACAAAAAGTCACTTGATTTGCTGATATCGGCCGATATTATTGGCTGGCCGATAAATCGGTCAGGCTCTATCCAAAATACTAAACTCAAGGCTTTAAAATGTTCACCAAAGAGAGACGTTAAAGTAACTTCTCCACCACCGTCATTGCATTAGTTGGATGCTCGTGCTTTAGTGTGTTGTTACCTTGTTGATCAATTCAGAGTTGCAGCAAAGTCTGAATGTATACTGTAATGCCATAAACAGTTATACAATAAGGGGTTAAAAATAAAAATACAATTTCTCCTTGAATAACCTACAAATAATTGATTACTTCTTATATAAACGTTTTTCAAAAGTAATCGTTCAAACATTCCTCCCCTCTTGTCAGTGTTCCTACATCCACCTCTGTGTCTCTCCAGGCGATGGTTGTGCATCACGGCTGACAGCAAACATTACTTCTGAGCGTGTGCGTATGCGAGCTCCATGCTGCGCGCTGTGGCAGAGATAAAGAGGCGTCACACTCTCGGGGACCTGGCAGACTGATCACAGCACAGAGTCAGAGGTCTGACTGATGCTGCTGAGCTGATGCGATGATTAGTTTCCATTAATGGAGAAGGAAAAAAAAATGGTTTTCAAGGCTGCAGCTGCAATCCCAGTTTGCTCTCTTGATGTGTGGATGTTTGTTCACATGAGAACATGAATAATGTGGACACTATGATTACAATAAATGTATTATCTGATCTGTATTACCATGACTTCATCAACACAGCTAGACAGCTATTTAGAGAGCAATTAGTACGATACCTTTTCTCCTACCTTGAATTTGTGTGTGCAACAATTAAATATGATAGAAACTGATTTCTATCTTTTAAAAAAAATATTTAAAAAATGACAGTCTTCCTTAAATCCTCCACGAACCAGATAAACTGTATATAAAGGTTAAGAAAACAAAAAAGAACGATAAAAAATGTGAACCTTTTAAAGGTGTAAATAGGTAGACAAAATCATTATGAATAAAAAATCGACTAAACCTATGTTATTTAAATTATTATTATTTATTATTATTAATTATTTTTGTCGAGAAGGTACGATCATATTCCTCTGTTTATAAACCCATTGATCATATGAAGGTTGATTTAAGTTGACTTTTTACATCATTCTGTCTTTGTGAAAACAAAGGTGCTGCCCTATCGAATACAAAGGCTTTCCATTCATCCATCCATCCGTCCATCTATTTTCTTCCGGTTGGCGATGGCAGCAGGCTAAACAAGTCGCCTCAGACGTCCCTGCAACGTCTTCCAACCCCACCTGGGGGACCCCAAGGCGTTCTCAGGCCAGAGGGAAATCAAATCCCTCCAGAGAGCTCTGGGTGTACCTCTGGGTCTACATCTGGGTCTCCTCCCGGTTGGTTGTTCCCGAAAGGCCACCCAAGGGAGGCGACCAGGAGGCATTCTGATCAGATGCTCGAACCGACTCAGCTGGCTTCTTTCAATACAAAGTAGCAGCGGCTCTACCCCGAGCTCCTGTCGTAGGTTTCCTCTTATAATCGCTTTCACCTACTTAAAATAACTGAGCCTAATTTTTTTCTTTTTTTTGCAAAACTCAGATAAGTCAAGAAAACCTGTTTACAAAAATTGTCGGCATAAATGAACAGACACAAGAATTAGCGAGGGATTGAGACCAAGTCGAGACCAAGACCTGGGCGAGACCGGAACAAGAACAAGACCAGGGCAGGGCAAGACAGAGAAAAGACCAAAGGGCAGCCAAACAAAAACACAAAAATGTGAAGAATTGAAGTCAAAGGTTTGGTGTCTGTCCCTGAGATGCTGCGTCCTTTGAAGTATTTTCTCTCTACACTTCATCTGGTTTCATCTTTTGCAAATACCCAATTCACAATACAAACAGCATCAATAGAAAACCCACATTGCACTTGGTTGCATTGATTTTCCTAGCAGCACGGACTGATTGCCTCCCTGCGGTCGAGGTTACATAAGACAAGCTGTGATGAACAGGAATGAGGGAAACGCTGTCAGACTGCATTGATCTGCCACAACGCAATTAAACGGGAAAAAATATTCAAATGTCCTTGTTCATAAATGATATTTCTGTCTG